GCGGAGAGGAGCAGGTTCCCGAGCTCTGTCCCTCCCCCAGGACAAGCAGAGCATGAGGCAGCTGATGCAGGCTGTGGACAAAGCCAATGGCTATTCCTTCGGGGACCAGGAGCAGCGCAGCCTGGAAGCGCTGATGTCAGCAGCTGTGGGGGCTGATTTCCACTTCACTTCGTATCCTCTGTGGTGCTGAGTTGAATTTCTCCTTCCTTGGGGCAGAAGGGCTGGAATTTGCAGGCCTGGGTTGTTCCTGACGTCACTGGTGGGTGATGCAGTGTGGGGAGTGCTCAGCCCAGCCCTGGACAGACTTGTCCATGCCAAACCCCCCAGAGTTGTTGTGATGGATACTGTCAGTGTGTCAGTTTTCCTCTCTTTCACACGCCCTTGGACAGGTTCTTTCCTTCCCCTCCAAACGGTAGAATTGATTCTCCTGGACTTGTCTGGGATCAGGCAGAGCCAGGAATATCTCAGGTGATGCTGAGTGTTCCCGAGGCCCTGGGGCTGGTTCCTCACTGGGAACGTTCAGAGCTCCACACCAGGGAGTGTTTGAGCCCAGCCCCGTGTTTTCCTTAATGACTGCGTTATCAGCACCCTGGCAGTGCAGGAGAAGTATGTGCAATCTCAGGACAAAGCCGTGGAAGAGGAGGTGATGGATCTGTGACACRCCCTTCCCCAGCTCCTCTGTTCTGACACCTCTCCTTTTCCTTTCTGCAGCTTCAGCTGTGACTCAGAGTAAAGGGAGAGTCACAGGCWCAGTGATTCTTTCCAGGCAGAGTCTGGACCCGTCCCGGGGTGGGTTTGATCCCCTGAGCTGCTCAGAACTGATTTGGCAGAAGGGAGGGATCTGAGGGTCTTCCCTTGGGAACAGAGAGATCAACCCAGGGAAGACAGGGACAGCGAGGAAAAGAAGTGACAAAAATCTCCTCCATCGTGACCAAGACAGATGTAGAGAAATAAAAATCAGAATCAGTTGGGGCTGCCTTGTGCCAGAGCTGGGTTTGCTGCAGGAGAAACGAGCACAAACCAGGCTGAGACGCCTCCACGCCRGCTCAAGGACAGAAAGCTGTTTGTTTTTCTTTTTCTTAGAAATAATGACGGACTCTTTCTTAATAAAACACTCCTCGGCCTCACTTTCATCTTGTGAGTTTGCTGAAGCTGAATAAATAAACCCAAGAGTGCTGCAGAGCCCGAGGCCGGAGCGCCCGGGGTGGGAGCGTCGGCAGCGCGGCGTTGGCCCTTGTGATGTGCCTGAGAACAGGCTCAGGGCTGTGGGACAGGAAAACAGGTCACTGTGGGGCTGCTGCAGTGCTCCAGAGCAGCACAAAACTGCCAGCTCGCCTTTGGGAGGCTTTTGATTAAGAAAGCCCCTGTGTGACTCAGCTGCTGGTTTGCATGTCGGGCCTTTCCCAGGAGCAGCCTCTGTGTCCTCATCCACCTTCCTTTCCCTGGCCTTGCTTTCTCCACATCCCAAATCCTGGAGTTCCCCTCCTCCCCTGCAATTCCCTCTCACTGTCCTGGCACAGCTCTGAGCCTCCTGTGCCCCCTGCTCTGATCCCAGCTCTGGGCACGGATCAGGAGAGATGGGATGGACTGGGAGGACTGGGAGGACAAGGAACCCCAAGAACAGGAGAGCTGGGATGGATCAAAGGACTGGGGGTGACAAGGGACCCCCAGATCAGGAGAGATGGGATGGATCAAAGGGCTGGAGGGACAAGGGACCCTTAGATCAGGAGAGCTGGGATGGATCAAAGGGCTGGGGGTGACAAGGGACCCCCAGGCAGCTCCACAGGACGGGAGCGGTGCCACTCCTGGTGCAGCTCTTTGCAGAGTCAGCATCGCCTCTTGCCCAAGATGTTGCTGAAATCCTGCAGGATTTTCCCACAGGATGATTTGGCCCTTGGCAGAGGGATTGGAGACGGATCCTCAATGGGTCTGAACGTCAATGGGGATTGGGAATTTTCCTGCATCTCCCAACTCTGGCCAGGATTTGGAGATGAACTCAGGGAGAGGAGGACGAAGATGTTGTGCTTCAACCAATGAAACTGAAATTTCAGCTATCAAAATCCAATCCCTGTCTGTGTCCAGTGCCTCAGCTCTTGCTGAGGGATTTCCCTGGGTGTTCCTGGCTGGAACCAGCACCAGCATTTCAGAGCTGAAGCTCTAAAAGCCAATCTGACCATAACTGAGCTGAAATTCCATCTCACCCTGGGGCTCGCCCTTGTCCGGGTCATTTTGGAGCTCTGGATCATAAAAATATTAATTTTAGAGTGGCTTTTTAATAGCTTTGAGAGATTTGGTGGCTTAAAAGGGTATGGTCAGGTCAGGCTGAGTTATACAAGAGCCATCAAAGCTTTTGTGGCTTTTTGGGTTTTTTGTTTAAATACTCTGGGTATCAGCCTTGCTGGGGAAATCAAAGGGGATGGGACAGCTCAGCTCACGGATCCTCTGCCTGTTCCAGCCGGGAAATGCTGAACTCTCAAAGAAATGCTGAACTCTCAAAGAGCTGCAGCCCCAGAACTGCGGGATTTTGGGACCATGGAGCTTTTACAGAATGGGGGCTGAGCCTGGACCCAGAGCCCAGCAGGGCCAATCCTGGGGAACAGAACGGAGCCCCCCGTGTGGAACGGGGTGTGAAACTGCTGCAGCAGCCACACCCAGCCTGGGAGGGGACACCCGCGGCTCAGGGAGGTGACATTTGGCTGCTGTCACTGCC